TTCTTGGCTGAAGCGACACTCCCCTAGCATAGTACATTGAGTAAAAAAAAAGGGTAAGAAATGTTTATTCTATAGAAAAAATCACAACAAGGTTACAGCTGAAAACAGACACGTTTAATAAAACATGGTCGCCATTAAAACAGACAACACCTGTCTCAAGCACCACCTATTTATTTTATTTTATTTCGTACTTACTTTGATTCACTGCACTTGTTTCCTCTGGAATGTAATGATACTAACATACCAGTACAGGTATCGTGGTGTCATTTTGTTGATGTGAAGCGAAGGACAGTATCTGTACATGTGTTGTTTCATGAGGAAAGGAATCTGATCTGATTTACAACAGGTGAAGTTATGCAAGTTATGTTATTCCTCCTGTTATGTTTTTTGTTGTCTGCAAAAAAAAGAAAGTAAAAAAAGAATCTGAAGCAAGATTGTTCAAATGTGTTGCCTATTTCATCCTTCCTGCAACCATGCCAAGATTCTTTTTAAACTAGCCAGCGCACAGTACCTCGACAAAGCCGGTGTTGTTAGTGAAAAACGGACCAGTGTCATGATCCTGCCTTGGCAAACACTCCATCAGCCTCTTTTTAGATGAATGACACCACCTCTTTTCTTTTATGTCAATGAGAGGCTACTATTCATGGGTTGTAATTGTTTTCCTTTCATACCGAATGAAAAGCAAGCAAAACAGGGATGTGTAGGGGGGGAAAACAACCCCGGAAGCAATATTAAAAGACTATTCCCTTTTACCAAAAGCCCAGGAGACTTGAAGGATTTGGAATTCATTGTCAGATCTTATGCATAATTAAGTAAATCCCCCACCCAGCCAGCCACATACCCCCCCTTCTTGCTTGCCAGAGGGATTTTACATGCAGCCCTGCCTCCCCCCACAGACAGTGGGTGCTTGTTACAGTGCCTAAACCCTATTAGGCCAGAATCAAGCTCGCGTTATATTAGCTGCTGATGAGACACTCGCAAACATGATTCCTGCAAAAACATGACATTGTCTGGCTTCATGACTTCCTGTGTTTCCATATTTCCTGCCGGCTGTTGGAGCTAAAACACGCTAAAATCTGGCAGCCCGCGAGCCACAGGCCACTTCTGTGTCTTGTTTATGCCGCCTGCTGTGATCTGACAAAAGAGGGCTTTGTTGCAAACTGAGTGTGAAGAAAAGCCAGAGACTCTCTTAAAACTCCGTTTGGTGTTTCCTTGGTCGACGCTGTGCGGTGTTTTAGTCTGGGTACGCAGTCTGGGTCAGAGTATTGGGAGAAAAAAAAAAAATATATATATATATATATACAGCTGCCTCCAAACACGCATATGCCTGCACAAGTCAGTCACCATTATTTAGTAATGGTCTGTCCACAAAATGTGTTATTTAACCACCGTCTGAGTTATCTCATTAGGGCGACAAACCCTTAAGTGAAAGCTTCATCTGTGTCAAACGGGGGAGAGCCGTTACGCGGCGAATGACTGGAGATGAGAGAAAAAAGCGTCTCCCCCGTGCTCCGATGGCTTATTAACTATGCAACCAGTCTGAGCACAAATCATACAAAGAGCTGCTCCCTGAGACACCCGTCATCTTTGTGTCTGCGCTCTGTGTGTGTCAACCTGCACGCTACGTTACACTAACTGGGATGCGACCCCCTTTGTGCAAACATGCCCTCAGGGGAAGATATCGACTGTCCGGCCCTCATTGACCCCCTCTCCACTTACTTCCTCTCCCCCCCCTCCCCCATCTTGCCCATTTGTGGTGCCAACCTAAAATGAACCGCTGTGCTATGTGCCCCTCTAGGGCTGCACGATTAATCAAAATGTGATGGAAATGGCAATATGGACTGTTGCAAAATTCAAATAGCAGGATGGAAATATTTGTTAAAGTCTAAATATGTGTTCAAATACCCTTTTTAAAATAAAATATTGTGGAAATGCAGAGATATCCCAGCCTACAAATCATGTTCTAAAGACATAACAAACATATATTTGGTACAGATCCTGGTAAAAAATCACACCATGATCAGTTGAGTATATTTTTCAATGAAGTTAATTACATAATGATGCAAAATTATCACATCCTCCTATATTGGACAAAATAATCGCATTATTTATATTTTCTAAATCGAGCAGCCTTATTCCCCTCCCCTTTCTCCCTCCTCTCGTCCTTTCGGTCCTCTATCCGTCGCTCTGTCTGTTGTAATATCTATTTAAACTGCTGGATGCGCTCCAATGTGCACATACTCTATGTCTATAAATCTCCTAAAACTGACTGAAAGCCCTTGTCTCCTACATTGTCTCTGCGTCTTATCTCCTAGCAGATTGTCTGAAAAAAAGGGGGGCAATGAGGAAGCTTCCAAAATGACAGAAACCATGACAGCTTCAGTAATATCTCTAGCGTGGTTAGATAACTGCTCATCTCTGTGCCACACATTTTCCTACCATATGTCACTGCATCACTGTGACTGGGAGCGTGCCTGCTAGCCTGTGTAGCGTAGTAGCTCGTCTCTCGTTTAGGATTAGCCTGTGAATGAGAGTGAGGACATGCTGACTCCAATGTCAGATCCAACAGATGCATGTCCTCCTAAATAGCAACAGTCATGCAGAGGATGTGAGCAGAAGGCGGAGCAGCTTGACACTCCCCACACACTCCTCTGTTGATCAGAATGGACTCTAAAGCCACCCCACCTAAATGTTTTTTTTGTAAATTAGCATTTCCTAGTTGACCCCTGTGGCTATATCCAACCATGATAGCACAGGCTTGAGTCTTAATGATCCTTGGCTTAGTGTAATGATTTCCCGACACTAAGCTGTTATTAGAGCCACTTCATCAGCCTGAGTGGGCGGGCGAAGCTTCAGTGATGAAGAGGAACACAATTCAATCCAAAACAGCCCTCTTGACCTTTGGTCTGTTTTTATTAGATCTTGTTTGATCGTCTCAAATGTTGTCCTTTACTGAGAACTCACTGATGCTTTCACTGATTACATTTATTTGAAACTGAATCACTGGTTTAGTTTAACAGTCTGCAACGTAAAATAAAATGAAAGCTATGTTCAAGTAATGTGCTGTTACATAAGTGGAAATGATCCAGAGAACACACATTGATCTGCCATTAAAGCTGCACTGATCAATTATTTTAAATTAACAATGGATCACATGCGCTAAGAGTAAAGCAAACGGGGTCATGCACTTGAAGTGATGTAACAACAGAGAATTATTACCCTACAGTTCACACAAGCAACAGAGCATTTACGTTTCTTCTAGGCCATTTTTAGCTACTTCCCAAGCACACAAGGCCAAAGTTACTTCAGTTATCAACTAACAGGTGAACATAGTGATTCATTAAAGGGGGCCTGTTCAGGTTCATATCAGTATGATGTGCCTCAACTGTGACAATGTGACATGTTTCCATGCTTTAATGTTCAAAAAGCTAATATAATGTGCTGCAGCCCCTCTTTTCACCCTCTGTCTGAAACCAGAGCCCAGTCTGCTCTGATTGGTTAGCTGGTCGGCTCTGTTGTGATTGGTCAACCACTTAGAGATGTCCCGCCCCTTAGCCTATCACGTACAATGTGTTCAAGTGCAAGCCAATAGAAATGCAAGTGTTACATAGTGAGGACACTATATGTTACAGAAGTAAACAATAGAATAGAATGGGAGGGATGAGACCCTCTTTAATGGTCACACATGCAGAGCACACAGCACACACAGTGAAATGTGTTCTCTGCTTTTAACCCATCCTAGTACCAGGAGTCTAGTACTAGGAGCAGTGGGCAGCTATTGTACAGCGCCCGGGGAGCAATGGATGTGAGGGGGGAAGGTGGGTGTCCGGTGCCTTGCTTAAGGGCACCACGGCAGGGCAGGAGGTGAACTGGGACCTCTCCAAGTAGCAGTCCACACTCCATATTTTAGGTCTGGTTGGGGACTTGAACCGGTGACCCTACGGCTCACAGTCCAAGCCCCTACTGACTGAGCCACTGCCAGACAATGGAGTCCAATGGAGGCGTTTCAGGAGGGGTTGGGGGGGGGGGAAAGAGTGTTTGGAAGAGAAACTCCCTCTGAGGGAAAAAGGGATTGTAGCCTTTGTAGACCATTTACATGCACACAAACCTATATAACACACAACAGGAAAGGGAAGACCCACAAAAGCCTAATAGGGTGAGCATGTTAGCTTGCTGGTGTTAGCAACACTTTGCCTGAGCATAGCCTTGCAGATTCATTGCTGCAAATTAATTAAAATGATTGGTGACTAATCTCCTGTTAATCAGCTCATATTTAGCTCTAAATGAAAGATGAATAGCAGATATTAGTTACCCCTCAATGAGTATTGTAGCAGTGATGTAAAAAGGGTGTGGTGGGCGGTAACTTTACAAAAAATAGCTGACTCATCTTGAAATGATCAGTTTGAATAATTGTGTGTGTGTGTGTGTGTGTGTGTGTGTGTGTGTGTGTGTGTGTGTGTGTGTGTGTGTGTGTGTGTGTGTGTGTGTGTGTGTGTGTGTGTGTGTGTGTGTGTGTGTGTGTGTGTGTGTGTGTGTGTGTGTGTGTGTGTGTGTGTGTGTGTGTGTGTGTGTGTGTGTGTGTGTGTGTGGTGTGTGTGTGTGTGTGTGTGTGTGTGGTGTGTGTGTGTGTGTGTGTGTGTGTGTGTGTGTGTGTGTGTGTGTGTGTGTGTGTGTGTGTGGTGTGTTCAGCTGGTGGCAGTGTGTGTCATGTCTGCGCTGAACAAGGAGTGGCAGCTGCTCCCCTATCCGTTGGGAAGCTGTGGTTCATGTGGTCTACATGATACTGAGTCTCAGTGGGCTTAGAGCCACGTCTCTGGTTTCTGCATCTGGCGTATTTGCTGTCAGAGGAATTTTTCCAGAGCATGTATTCTGAGAAAATAACATAAGAAGCAATGTACATTTATTATGGTATTCCTCTTTAAAAGTGCCTTGAAATGCAATTTTATTGTATTACACTTAATCTCATTGACTTTTCCTCTCTGTCCTTGAATGCTCTGCAGTCCTGGGCCATGGGGGGATCCAAGAGTAAGCCCAAGGATGTCGGCCATCGAACCCGCAGCCTCGAGGGCACCCTCAGCTCCGGAGGGGGGGCCGGCGGACACCACTCCAACCAACAGTCCCTCACACCCAACCGTAGTCCTGCTACGGATGGTTTGGGGGGCAATCCGTCCATGACTAAAACCTCAGAGCTGACCCTGTTTGGAGGCGTGGACAATAACGCTGTCACCTCTCCCAACAGAATCACACTAGCAGGTGAGGACATCAGCTTGGTTTGTTTTGTCGGTTGTTTTATTTCCTGTGTGAAAAAATAATCTCCAAACGTTATCCCTTGATAGGAGGCGTGACGACCTTCGTGGCTTTGTATGACTACGAGTCGAGGACGGCCTCAGACCTCTCCTTCAAGAAGGGTGAACGCCTCCAGATAGTGAACAACACGTAAGGAAAACACAAAACTAATCCAATGCTCATTTCTGTTTCCCTTTTTACAAACAAGTTAACTAAACATTGATCCAAGAACACTTTTCCCTACACATTCGCTGTGTGTTTGATGACAAATTCTGCACATAAACACGTCCACAGACTGTCTGTCTGAGTTTGTCCTCAGTGGTCTGACTGGCTGCTTTGCACCCAAAACGCATGTCACTTGTCGTCTCTCTGAAAGCCACTGTAACCATAGAAACGGGCTTCCCTCAGTGGAGCTTGCTTTTTGTGTCACTGACAATTTTTGCTTCATTCAAAAAGAATTGCTCAGCCCACCTCAGTATGGACATGGATATTTGTATCGCTTTTCCCTGGGAATTAGACGCTGTGCAAGACCCAGTTACCACATCAATCTAACCTGTTTATGGGGAGTCATGCTTGTTTGTTTAAATAGGGGCTTGCGTTATGAATCAATATGGGTGCAGTGACCCATAAATTGTAATGAATCACCCCCAGTGCTGCTTGCCCACTAACAAACTACTGACCTAGAAGGCAGGAGCCGAGGACAATAGTGGATTATCGCTGCATCTGGCCCCTTAAGCCAAAGACCTGGGTCATTATTGGGTCAAGTACACCCAGAATCCATTAAAAAATATCCAAGATTAGTTAACGGGCTATCACAGTCAGATACACTCGTCTTGGCTTAGACCATTTATACTTTTTAAGCCATGCATAGTGATCTGATGGGCTCTTTTTATGATATTATTATGACCCTGCAAGTAGTCAGCCTAATCCTTTGTCCGCAAGTTATGTAATGGTTTAAATATTTTACATGCATATTGGTGGTATTATGAGTGTGTTCCGTGTACTCTGCTGTTCATCCACTGCTCAAAACGTGCTCTCTGTGTTTCTTTAATCTCTTTTCCATTATTTCCCTTTCATCTCTACTTTCCATTTCTCCATCACAAACCTTTTTTTTTACAGGAGGAAGGTGAACTGCAGGTTTGTGAAGCTCCTCTAGCGTTGTATTTGAATGTGCTGTTTGTCTGGCTGTGTGTTTGTATCACCTGAAGCACATGCTCTACTTTTGCCGTAAAACCACTGGTCTAGAAAGGCACAAACCACATAACTCTGCCCATGCCCCATAAACCCTACAGTAGTCAGGGGGAGGTGGTGTAAAGCCTTGCAGCACTTTATTCAATTAATCTCAACAAAGACGAATAAATTATTGTAATTAAACTGTAATTTAATTTAGGATTCTCTAAATTAATACAGTAGTGCTGCAAAGCTACTCACATCCTGATTAAGTTTAGCACACAAGCTCCATCCCTCACGGTTGTCATTCCCACATGGATGCATGTTTGTTCATAGTTGCATAAACCTGTTTCTGATTCTGATTCTGATAACCTTCAAATATATTTTTTAACAGTAAAGATATCTGGGCTTTTTATTTATCAAGTTTCTCCAGGAGCCAGGAGCTCAATAACTGTGGCAACAACAACAAATATTTTTTTGAGTGAATGCACAAAAAAGCAAAAATCCTCAGCAATAAAGTATTCATACTCTGAGACACTTGATAAACACTAGCCCTTAAAGTCAGAAGGACTGTTTGTGTGTGTGTTGTGGATGTGTGATGAGCCTCTGTGAAGCTGTGTGTTTTCGTTTCATCTGTGCAGAGAAGGCGACTGGTGGCTGGCTCGCTCCCTGACCACTGGAGAGAGCGGCTACATCCCCAGCAATTATGTGGCTCCATCTGACTCCATCCAGGCAGAAGAGTAAAACCTCCTTTTTCCTCCTTACTCTTCCTTTTCAATCTGTGTTTCATCAAGCATGTGAAAGCTATGACACTCAAATACTTGATTCTATAAAAAAAATCTTGCTTTTTATTCACATGTGAATACAAAATGAGCACTCAGAAGAACAGTTTGATGATGTTTGCCTATTTTTCAAGAGTAAAATTAGACAATTAAGACACTCATGTCTGTCCGTTTAATATGAATCTACACCTAGCTTGGCTTAAAATAGAGACTAGCAACAGGGGAAAACTGCTACCCTGGCCTCTGTCCAAAAGTAACACATTCCACCTATGTTGACCCTTAAAGTTCACTTATTAACACACTATATTTTGAGTAAATATTGCATCTGTAAAGAACCTAGTGCAGAAATGTAAATTAAGCGGTCATGTCATAAGTGTTTTTTGGCTAGCTGTTTCCCTCAGTTTCGAGGCTTATGCTATGCTAACTGGCTTTTGCTTCGTATTGACCGTACAAACATGAGAGTGGTATTAATCATTGCATTTAAGTCTAGACAAGTGTATTTTCCAAAATATGGAAGTATTCATTGAAATGTCTCTGGTATGTTTACTGTTTTCTTCTCCTTGGAGACATGCACTACTGTTCTTTACTTGCTAACCTGCTTGCTTGAACAATCAAGTCACTCAAACTACTTTATACTTTTCTAACAACTCAATTTTTCACTTTTCCTCCTGCCTCTCCAGTCATCTCAGACTGACTCTAGAGTCCAGGTAAGCAGCTGTTGCACAGTAGGCATTAGTATGCATTGCATCTGGTATGCAAAGACATACTGTCGATTCACTGCACTTTCTGAAAACATGAGCAATAACTGACCCTCGCTTCGTCATTCCTTCTCTTCCACACCCACATTCATCATCGCCCCCTCACCAACCTGTTCCCTGTGTGTCCCATGTTTTTCTTTCTCAACCTCACCAGGTGGTACTTTGGCAAAGTCACTCGCCGCGACTCTGAGAGGCTGCTGCTAAGTTTAGAGAACAGGAGAGGGACTTTCCTGGTGCGAGAGAGTGAGACCACCAAAGGTAAGCATGTGGAGCCACAGAAGCTAACTCATCATTATTCTGCCTCTGTAGACCGGACGTAAGGGTATGAAACCTCAAGTCGTGACCTAAATGTGTTCTTAGCATCGAGTTACATAAAGTGTGCAGTATAAAAAGTTTGATTCAAATGCTTTAATATTTAAAAAGCTTGTTTTGAAATAAATATCAATATCTTTTATGAAAAGACTCATTTTCAAGGCCTTGAATCAGAATGAGAAATTTGAGGAATTTGCTTTGGTGTAAATGTTGCATACATAGAAAGAGGAATATGTTTTAAAAAAGGAGCCCAAAATAGTACCGTTATGAAGACTATTTTAACAAATTATAAATAAAGACAATATTTACACAAAAAAAAACTAAGATCAGTAAAAGATAATTGAATATAGTATTTGACATATTTAATTTTCTAAGTGGAGAGCTGTGTAGATTAAAGGAGGTAGTGTTGAGCAGACATATTCTGAGGTTGTGAAGGATTGACAGTATTAGAAATGAGCAATATGTTGTTCTGATACCTATTCTGATTTGCACGTTATCATTTTGATTTATTACTGAAACTTGCATATCGTTTTGCACCTGAAGCAACAAAATATGTCAAATAATACACAGCTCTATTAAGCTAAACTATACCAAAGGGGCTCAATAGGGTTATGCGTTTTTTGGCTTAACAGACCAGGGGGTTTAACAAAAACTATTGGAAGAAGACGTTATTATTCAATCTATGGTAGGCCTATACGTACCAAAGTACCTTTGTACAAAATCGACTTAATGCAACTTTTTGTCAAATGTAGAAGTGTTTGTGAAGACTACTTCGTGTTCTCTTGCATCTGAACTTTTCAAACGTTCAGGTCTCAAACATGAGGCTCATGACAAGTATTACCCAAAAATTGCACCAAGAAGATGAAAGTGAATTCTGTCTAGCATTAAGACGTGACGCCCTGCTGTTCGTGGTGGTGTGGGTGCAGAAGAGAGTCTATTTGGACAGATGGGGAAAAGGTTGGATGAGACGCCTATGGGACTGGAGATGGTTCTGATAGGCAGCTTCTCTGATGCAGAAACACAGTCCCCTCAGCTAGTGTGTAAGAGTGTGTGATTTGTACACATGTAAATTACAGGGCTCCCGTAGTTTCCTATTATGGGATTTCTATGTCAGCTCGGCGTTGAATGAGAAAAGGGACAAGGTGGGGATGGAGGGGTGGAGGGGGGTGAGTAGAGTGAGTTGGGGGGGTATTGGGGGGGTTAGCCCGACAGAATTAGGTCAGTGTGGAGCTGAGGACTGTACTGCCACTGGTCCACATCATACAGTACAGAACTCTGTTTATTTAACCTGACTGATGCTGCCCTCTGGTGGTGTAATGACCACATTGTCACCAACACTTTAAAGCTTAATTTCTCCTTTTTACATCCATGCAAACACTTGTATAACCCCATATCATTAGAATTCGTATTTATTATTGTTTTCTTCTTTCCAGGTGCCTACTGTCTGTCTGTGTTGGACTATGACAACACCAAAGGGCTGAATGTGAAGCACTACAAGATCAGGAAGCTGGACAGCGGAGGCTTTTACATCACATCACGCACACAATTCAGCAACCTGCAGCAGCTGGTCAACCACTATCGCAGTGAGTCGTCTTTTCTCTTATTGTCATATTTGGGTTTTTTGACACTTGCTTTGTTTCCTGTACCCTAAAGATATCCCTCTGTAGTTTAGAAAGAAGCAGGAATGGTCTTTGATACCGCATTTCTTATCTTGTGTTTCACAGAGCATGCTGATGGGCTGTGTCACAGTCTATCAGACATTTGTCCGGTTCTGAAGCCTCAGACTCAGGGCTTATCTAAGGACGCCTGGGAGATCCCCAGAGACTCCCTCCATCTGGATCTGAAGCTCGGACAGGGCTGCTTTGGAGAGGTCTGGATGGGTAAGCCGTGCTTTGATCTATGTCTTGAAAAGAAAAACTGAACCTCTGAAATATTCTGCAGGTTTTCTGTCTTTCTGTGGAGAACTTAGCTGTTATTGCTCACTGAAAAAGGATGTTTGAAGGCACACTTCCAGTTAAATATGAACAAACTGTGTGAAGAGCAAAGTGCATTTAGAAGTTGCATTCTTCAGATTTTTCCCCAAGAAAGTGCATTGGATTTCTTTCTGTTCCCTTAAATGCTTGTGTTGTTACTGCAGCTCATGACCGACTTTCCACACACTCTTAAGGACATATTTACAGTATTTCTTATTTCATTGTCCTGGTCAAATAGACAAATGATGAAATTGAATAAGCAGCAAAACAAATTGTATATCAGTAGGTCTATTGCTGCTATTTTTCCTAAAAATAGAAATGAACAATTGCTTTTTGTTGGGTTAGGGGTTAGGGTTTGTTGCTTTTATTATCCCAATATATTCCAAATAATGAACGCTGTATCATTATACGTTTTTTTCTTCTACCAAATTCACAGGAGAAGCTAGATGCTTTAACCATTTTTTTTAAAAAGCTTTTTCAACCATTTGCCATCACATTTGCCACATGTTATAACTTATATATAACTATTTTTACAGTACTGTATATATCATATTGTTCTTGTTAAACCTGGTAGCCTCTTAATAGTTTTCATATACTCTGATTTGAAACATGTGGTATTCAGATGTTCAGAAACTAACAATCTGTCCTCCTATTCTCTGTGCTGACTAAAGAAAGGCAGGCACAACTGGTTGAAAAATCACTAGTTTAGCATTGCTATGTCTGTAATAGTGATTTTCTTTGGATTTTCCATGACCTTATGCTTTAAGTTGATACTACTTTATCAATTCCTACATATGACTCACATCTCCTTTTTTTAAATATTTCTTTTAGGAACGTGGAACGGTACAACCCGGGTGGCAATAAAGACCCTGAAGACCGGCACCATGTCCCCCGAGGCCTTCCTGATGGAAGCTCAGGTCATGAAGAAACTGAGACATGAAAAGCTGGTCCAGCTCTACGCCGTGGTGTCGGAGGAACCCATCTACATCGTCACGGAGTACATGGGACAAGGTCGGCAAGGACTTTCACATACATTATATATATATACATTTATATACAGTATATAAGTAATGTTCTTCATTGTTGTTTTTCAAAAATGTAAAGAATAAAGGATATGCACAATAGCTAGGCAACACATTAAGTCATAAAAAGAAATAAAATAGTGCAAGAGATATAATTTCTGCAAATGACTAAACTGCAGGAATACGATAAACAGAATTTAAATGAAGTACTGTGAATGAGAATAAATACTGTTTACACTCTAATAATGTATAAATATGTGGCTACTGTATATGGAATAAACAGTAAATAGTTGTAGCCTAGTTTTTAAGCTTTATGAGTAAATGTGTACTCTAATTATGCAATGCTGTAAGGGTTTGTTTACATTAGGAGCCAATAAAAGCCAGGTCAAACCATGATGCATTTACTGCCTGCAAAACAAATGTATTATCATTTAAAAAAAAAACATGAAATACATTTTATTACATATTACATACACAAATACAAGAAGTGAATACTTAAAGCAGAAATATACAATGAATGACGACAACAGCTCCAGCAGTGTTATGCTAACCTGCAGTGTGTGTCTGCTAACAGGTAGCTTATTGGATTTCCTGAAAGGCGACATGGGTAAAATGCTCCGCCTCCCTCAGCTGGTGGACATGGCTTCACAGGTCAGCACGTTAATGTTCTGCAGCATGACCTAAATCACTTCAAAATTGTAATTCTGTAATTCAGTTTAGACAATCACAAAGCTTTGTCTGTTTCTCAGATTGCTTCGGGGATGGCGTATGTGGAGCGGATGAACTATGTGCACAGAGACCTGAGAGCTGCTAACATCCTGGTGGGAGATAACCTGGTTTGCAAAGTGGCTGATTTTGGTCTGGCTCGCCTCATTGAGGATAATGAATATACTGCTAGGCAAGGTAAGACCAATGTAGAGCGGTGTAAGCTTAAAGCATGCAGCACACTGGTTTCCAATCTTTTATACAGCTTCTGACCTCTTAAAGTGAAGTAGTATGTATTTGGTACCACACGTGTTATGGTGGTGTGTTTTGAGTTATAAGCAATTCAACCAAAAAGCGATTTTCTTTTCCCTCCGTTTGTGTTTTTATGGATTTCAAGAGGTGAAAGTATACATTTTAAGACAAGAATTGTAGGTTTTCTCATGCTTTTAAATCATTTCATGACTGATTTTCTGGGGTTAGGAACTGGTGATGTACAGCCTGTGGTTATAAGGTCTTTTTGATGTATGCAGCATGCATGTTGTGCCCTTGTTTTGGTCTGTGCTGCAATTATCTACTTTTAACTTTCTTATAAACCTGTCGTCCTGTAGGAGCCAAGTTCCCCATCAAGTGGACAGCTCCTGAGGCGGCTCTGTACGGCCGCTTCACCATTAAATCTGACGTCTGGTCCTTCGGGGTCCTGCTGACTGAACTGGCCACCAAAGGCCGAGTGCCCTATCCAGGCAAGAACCATTTTCATTTTGACAATTCTGTTCAGTCGATGAAACAACTAAATAACACACCTTTTGACTCCATTGTATTAGTCCACCTTACAGGTTTCTACCAAGTACAAAAGTGTGTTGATTTTCTAATGCATCGCGCCACAGGCTATCTGAATCAGAAGTACATTAGTCTCTTATAAAGAAGCTTTATGCAACAGGTAAATGTGGGTTATAGCAGGCTATATTTTAGACACATTTACTATTCTTATGCAACTGGCCCTTGAAGTGAGTTGCTGACGTCATGCTCCACTAATCCAACAGCCACATGATGTATGACTGGCAGTCTGTTAGTCATAAGGCATTATATAATAATTAATTAATAATTGCTTTTATCACACCTTTGCTCTGCCAGGTATGGTGAACCGGGAAGTGTTGGACCAGGTGGAGCGCGGATACAGGATGCCGTGCCCAGCAGAGTGCCCTGAATCCATGCATGATCTGATGCTGACCTGCTGGAGGAAAGAGCCCGAGGAGAGGCCCACCTTTGAGTACCTGCAGGGCTTCCTGGAGGATTACTTCACCTCCACAGAGCCTCAGTACCAGCCAGGGGAGAACCTGTAACTGGGCTGAACGTGGAAATGTGCATGTGTCACGCATGTGCAAACTGAGCATGTGCATCTATCTACTTCAGAGTGCATGGACAAGTATGTGTGAGGGGATGTACCGTATGTACAGAATAACGGGGCAGAAAGCCGGCTGCAATCTGGGTCCAAAGGGTAAACATCAAGGAGTATCAGTGGGGCAACAAACTCATCAGCAACATTTAGTTCCTGCCTCCTTTTCCAAAGTCAGCTCCAACATGCCAGCTGTCAAAAGACTCACTTGTGGTATTAATTTTTGCATTTTTCATACAGTACTGTGTAATTTTGTCCGTCAGTCAAATCACCAACATACTATACACGCCAAGCAGGTTCTTCTACCTTCCTTGTGTTTCTAAGGAGCCATGGAGATGTACATTCCCTATGCGCTCTCCCTGCGTTTGAACACCTGACTAATCCTGTCGTTTGTCACCTTCAACACTGCAGGTGGCACATGACATAAAAGACTGCATAGGGGTTAACCCATGGGGGGTCCAGAGAATGAACGTTGGATACAAGTGTTGCCCCGCTAAAAGCACCACTTCAGGATGTCTATTTTTACCCCATTTTCTTTGGGACACTATTAAAAATGTGTATGGTCAGTCTGTCTTCCATTTTGCCACTTGAGAAGCAACTATTTTGGTATGTACAATAATTTCCCAGGATATTGTGGGTTTTATTTCCTTATTATACCTGGATCAACTGGAATATATTCGGGTGAACATTGTTATTTTGTAATCATGCTTCCCCTGTGCTTCATTTCGGCTGGTTTCCAAACTGCTGTGAGATGTAATAAGAGACTAACACCCTTGATTCTCATAAGAGTGTGTAGTCTCACTCGCCAATTGGACGATTTGGTTTATCGCTGTGACCAATATACAGCTCAACTCAAAGAAGAGACGAGGCAGGAGTCTGTCCCTCTATTTTCTAATTGTGACTTTTCTTACAAACAAATGGCTACTGATCACTATTGGTCATCTCAGGATGGAGAAGACTACAATTCTGCTGCAAGGATTTTTGTGCCAATGAAAATCTCTTTTGTACTCTCTTATACTGTGTAAAAGTGTATTTTACTACTCTGCTTTTCTTACAATGAAGTTTGACTTGTTGTAAGCATTTCTTAAAGGATAATCCACTGTTTTGAGATTCTACACCTGTGTACAGTACCGACCGGCTCACCAGCATGGTTTCAAGGCGCTGATTTGTTTCAAGCATTCAAATTAAAAATCAGGTGAATCCTACTGTCTCCTTTCAGGTTTGACCTTCATTTATATGAAGAGTTCTATTTTCAATCAGCCTCAGTATTTCCCTAACTAGTGCATCTTTGTGCACCATCGTACACTGGAGATTTCATTTGTTTTCTTTAATACATGAGACAAAGAGTGATATTACTCTGAGTATTGTTATGCCTTCTTCCAGCCTGTAGGAGGCAGACCAGGAAGCCCTAGCATGTATAGCAAATAAATTGGCATCGTGAAACTACATTGTAAATATCCTCAATGCTAATATTTTTGTACATATATATCATCTTTATAATTTATTCCTTTTAAAATAACCCATTGGATTTTGGCATCATTCTTTGAAACGTTAATGTTTATGGTACTTTTATGGGTTAAATAACACCTGACAATAACAATATAAATATATATTATACAAACACTTTTTGTGCACGTATTTCTGTGAAACTTATCTTGGTTGAACATTTTCAATATGACTTGAATTGGTGAGGAGAACTGCTCTGTATCCCCTGACTCACAGCATTGATTACTTGCCAGAAACGGATCATCCACCCGCATGATTCCCATAAAAACAATCACAACCACAAATGATTACATCGTGATAATCTCTGAATCATCATGGTGACTGGTAAATGAGCAGGTTTCATTATGGTTTAACATTTTCTGTTTCTCTGGGTACATCTGATGAACAGTTTGTGTTTGTGTCTTTGGCACCTCCATAATTGTTTTAATGGACATGTAAAGCTTGTTGTTCATAAAGCACTACACTCTATGATTAATGACTCCATACAGAAGATGATGTGACTGCCACGGATGAAGGGAGTTTGATTTCTGTGTAGCGTCTACTGTGTCCTGTGGACATGGGGTTATGCCACAATGAATGCATTGACCTGATTGGGCGTAGTCAGGTTGCCCTTCTTTTCCTGACCTGCCCCTCTCACTGAATGCTTATATGAGCAAAGTGCACGGAAAAAAAGATCATATTGTATGTATGTTGCAGCCTTGCTTAAAGTTAAGGGCATTTCCTGTTGGGTATACTGTGGGTCTTCTTTCTGGCTATGCAGATATTTTTTTTAAATCTCTGATATTCCTACATTTACTCTTTTCTATTGTATCTAATGGGAATGTTCAGATAAATAGCTCTTTGTTAAATCCTACTGATTATTGTTCAAATTTGAAATTACATTTGAATAAAATTTGTATATTGCCAACTGTATCCTTCGTGTTTATCAACTGAATGAATGTGTTTCCTATAATCAGGACGATATTGCTGAGATTATGTTTGAAATTAGTCAAGTCGATGATCAAAGGTTCATACAGCTGCAGAATCATGCATATTCTAAACTATCTAATCCACAATTATCATTAGTAATGATCATTTGTGGGAAATGAGCTTGCTATTATCAAAGCATTATTAGATCCAAGTATACGTTAAGGTTAATGGATTAATACTGATTTGAAAAAGAAATAAATATTTATTGAAAAATTATGTTTTTGTATATCAATTTGGTAGTTTTTCTTGATTTCTGATTCTGAAAATACACTAAACAGGGAATAAAGAAAGGAACATTATTATTGTTATAATTTTAGATTTGAAGATACCAAAGCCCTCATGTGTATCAGTGATTCCTACAGGTCCTCAGGCTAATCATATCAGCTAACCCCACCCAGTGGTCACGTGCCGCCAGTGCTCGCGCGCTGTGTGTAGAATTACCAGAAAGTCCCGGAAGAGGCTCCTCGTGCAGAACAGAGCGAGGTGCAGGTGAGCTCTCACGCACCATGTACCTGTAAACAAAGAGAAACAACATGGAAACAACAGCCAGGATGCAGTTTCATGGAAACCGGGATCAAGCACGACTCCGTAGCAGGTAAAGGAACCATTTTACTCCTTGAAACGGTCCATGTTTAACTATTAAGGAGTACATATTGTGTTGCTTGTTTTTCCATTGTAAGGAAGGCTGTTTTTTCGTGAGTTGTCTTAAAAGTTTTGCAGCATAACACAAGGCTGGGGCTTTCTCTTTAGCTAAGATGAATGATTTAACAATGATAATTCTCGTTTTATAATTGCTATTTTAATTTTGCCCTGTTTTCACTGATTCTTTAACTTCAATCAGTTTATTCTCCGAATTTAGGTCAGTACAGTTTTTATTACATATAGTTAAACCAAATATTCTGCTGAAATTCCTTGCTTCTTCCAAGTAAACTCCCACTGTAAAATATGTCTTCATGTATGAATAAATGTGTTGGTATTACAGCTCTATGTAAGCCATATTTTCTGTCCACATATGTCAGCTCTGTTGGCGTTCTGCTGTATCTGGCTGCTAGCTCGTGGTAACATGTTGTGACTGCAACCTGCTTCAGTACCACACCTTCCTATTCATTTGTGTGGTCTACTGGTCTTATATTATTGCAAAGGGTAGGTTTTAATGTCTCACTGCAACCCTGTTGAAGCCAGATTAAAAGCAGGAAATCCTAATTGTATTTTTCCCCCTGCTCCTTTATACCCCTCTCATTCTGTTTGTTCTCTTTCTGTCTTTCTATGTCTGTCTCCAAAACCTGCCAGGCTGCAGATCGGTGTGTGATCCAACATCCTGATACACACAGCGTAACCAGACACACTGCACAGAGCTTACACATGAGATAAGGTGGGTCAATCCGTTCCAATCAACTGGGGAAAATTAGGTCAATTCACCATTTAAATCCTGGTTTGCTTCTCTCTGTGTGTGTGTGTGTGTGTGTGTGTGTGTGTGTGTGTGTGTGTGTGTGTGTGTGTGTAGTGTGTGTGTGTGTGTGTGTGTGTGTGTGTGTGTGTGTGTGTGTGTGTGTGTGTGTGTGTGTGTGTGTGTGTGTGTGTGTGTGTGTGTGTGTGTGTGTGTGTGTGTTTGTGTGTGGTGTGTGTGTGTGTGTGTGTGTGTGTGTGTGTGTGTGTGTGTGTGTGTGTGTGTGTGTGTGTGTGTGTGTGTGTGTGTGTGTGTGTGGTGTGTGTGTGTGTGGTGTGTGTGTGTGTGTGTGTGTGTGTGTGTGTGTGTGTGTGTGTGTGTGTGTGTGTGTGTGTGTGTGTGTGTGTGTGTGTGTGTGTGTGTCACCACAGAGAACTAGTTTACACTTTTATGTTTGCGCTATATTTTCTGTTTTCGCCTGTACTGGAGCATCAGAGCAGAGTAAAATACAGCAGCCTCCTTGAGAATTAGATAAAAGACAATCTTCCAAGTTATTTTTAGGTTTGACAGTTTGTCTCATCTTCACAGGCCCTTTTTATTCTTGCAAAATGTTGTTTTATTGTCAGAACACTGGCTCCATTTACAGCGTGTGAACAGACTTGCTCCTTGATACAATCTGGATTAATCATTTCTGACCAAAGGTAGCTCAACTCTGTAAATACTAGGACGCTTATTTGCTTTCTCTTTTAGGTCAAACGTTACTATTCATGGGTATCAGAACTCAAATATCCTTCAAAAGTCTAACATTTTAAACACCTCTGGATGCTCATGAACAATTTTAATGATGTTCACCTAAACTGTACTTTCATGTTCCAGCCTCTGTGTCGGGACAATATCATTTGTGCCCTTAAGGACTCTCAAGCATTGTTTGTCTCTGCGTTTATTGCAGGTAGTAACTTTTGTTTGAGTAATTGGAACCATGTGCTATACAGGCAGTAATGCAATACCTTTTAAGACCGAGAAGAGCTTTAGTAATCTTTGTTTGCATAAGGGTCCTCGTGATGCTCTTTCTCAGTGAATATCTACACAAAAAACAATGGTTAGAGAAGGATGGTGTTCTTAATAGAAGCTGAAATGCATTTTTCTTCAGGTCCACAAGCACACACACGTAGCAACAGCTGTAATTATAGAGTGTGTGTCTCAGGTGGAGGCCAGAGGCTGCACATTCAGCAGCAGAGGGGGAGTTGTTGTGAGAGAAATGTTGCCATCAGGAAATGATGCATGCAGCATGACAGTTGGTTACCGGAATTGTCAACCACAACTTCACGCATATTGTACTGCTTGCATGTTTTTCAATTCATTTCAATACATTGCTGCAAGAAAGGTGTTAAAATGTGCTTCAAACAATGCTCTTATTATTTCAGGTTGATATTTACGTAAAAGATTAACTGAAAATAACCCACCTTAGGTAAATGTTAACATAGATTGTGTGTAAGAGCTCATATTGTTTTCCAAAGGTTTCCTATCAATAGAAAGGTGATTACTGGAAAACATTCACGCTATATTTGTTTTGTCTTTTTAATTGTGTAGACATTGTCTTTAAAGCTACTTTACTTACTAAATTGTGTTGTTCCAACTTAAAGTGGACCAATCATGCTATATTTGAATAATATAGTGTAGGACCATACCTATATAAGGCATATTTATACTTTTTTTTTTTTCAAAATACCAAACAGATCATGCATTTTAGCCATGCCTCATTTTGCTCAATTTGACATTTTTTAGCTCTGTTTTTGCAAGGGCAGATTCAGTGAGAACAGCACCATCTACAGGCCTGGCATATGTACTACAGCGTCTCCAGCGCTTTCGAACGGCAATGGCCGTGGCAGAGTTCCCGTTAGAATATTTTTTTGCCGGTCAACATGTCCGTTAAAGTTGAAATTTTCCGGACAAAATTAGATAAGTGCCGGTCAAAGGTCTTCTTTGTTATTTATTGAGCTTTAAAACAAATTGATATGATTCGATATTAAACAAACTAATTATAGTAGATTAATTAACTATTCAAACGTGTACAGTAATTTACAAAAACGCGGGAATAATAAACGGAGCGCTCTCCCCCTCTCCTGACAGCCCACCAGTATCATGCAGCTCGCGGATCCAGTTATGAGTGACCCGACAGTAAAACTAAACATATCTATAACTAGTTTAGGTAGTTTGAGAGGTAATTAAAATAGCTACGTGTGATATTCTAACCTGAAGTGTGTGTTTTGCTCTGCTCGCCGCTGCAGGGGATCATGCAGAGCTGCGTGTCGACTCGTCAGCAGCAGCCGATCTCTCTCTCCTGTCAGATTAGACTTTACTCGCGTTTATGTCCATATCGATCAGATCTAGCTAGTTCTAGCTAATGATATGACTACCTGCTTATTAAAAGACACCTAAACAATAAGCGTCGCTATGCAACCGGGTGAGGCCACAAAGTATAGCGCAGCATTATGCATTTGTTTACATGCCCACCGGAACCCCGAGGCATTACCAACAGATCAACGCACAATCAACCCATACAGGACACTCTTTCTCCACATTAAGTGTTAGACATTAGAATTGACAATTTTTGTCTGTCACATACTCTTTTGTCTGTCACATACTCTTTTGTCTGTCACATACTATTCTTGTCTGTCACATAAGTGGCGCAACTGATGCAGTATTGCGCTAAGGGAAAATTATTTTGACCGGACATTTTGACCGGAGAGATTTAGATTTGCCGGTCTTTAGCATATTTTACCGGTCATTGTCCGGTAATTACCGGCTAACGGGAACTCTGGGCCGTGGCTGTCTCCTCCTGATTGGTGGAGTTGGCCCAATAGCCGTAGCGCCACTGTCCTGACGTCAGGACAGTGTTCAAATCTGGATCAGTTTTTATCAGATCCGTTGCAGCCCCTTTTTTAGAGATTTGGGTATGGAGGAAAATAGAGAGGGTTGTGTTTTCTGACAATGGTGAGTTCCCTGGAACACCGGGGACACATATTCATGTATAAAAGACGTACAAAAGTGCATTTTGCATGATAGGTCCCCTGTAAGTAAGGATGAAGTATATTTATATTCATTCTACATTTCAGTGTAGAGCCACATCAGTTAGTCAATAGACAGGAAACTTATCTGCAATACATCTATTATCTATTAATACATGAATTGTTGTTTCCTGTCTCTCAAATGGAATACTTTACTGCCTGTCCTTTTCTTACATTTAACTGGCTTTGGACTTTAGGTTGTGTAAAGCAAGATATCTGAACGTCATGTTGGCTGTTATTAATTATAACTGTTTTTCTTAGTTTTTATAGAACAAACCATTAATCAAATAAGGGAGAAAATAATCTGCAGATGAATCTATGAAAGATATCCTCAGTTGCAGC